AAAACTAAATATTTATATTCTTTTCAACCAGTCTTTGTAAATGATTTGTTTTCATAATAATATTTAAAAAAATCAAATACATAAATATACTAAATACAAATTTATGTGTACAGTAAGTTAAACAATGCGTCATCATAGTAGCTTATTGATTAAGCTCAGTTAAACAACATTCTATGATATTTTATACTTATGATAGTATAATATTAAAATTAAAACTTWATTTTAGAATTATCATTGCAAATGGAGCCCATAAGACCATCAAGGGGAAAAGCTCGTGGGCGTCCCCAAATTCCAACCAATCAACCTGGTGCACCGGGTTTATCAAATTTACCTCCTCAAGGAATAAGAGTACCTAGACCAACCATATCGCAGCCTATACCTTCACAAACACCAGTTACAGGTGCAATGCCACGTCCACCTCGTCCAATGCCAMCACGACCTACTGGCGCACCACAGCAAAGAGCTCCTAGACCACTAGGTCCAAGACTGGGAATGTCTGGTGATAATGTACCAAGACCTGGGATGTCTAGTGATAATATATCAAGACCTGGGATGTCTGGTGATAAAATATCTAGACCTGAGATGTCTGGTGATAATAAAGGCATTAAACAAGACCCTATGGCAGGAGTAAGAATCTATTTAAAATTTCATTTTATTTACATATATTTATATGCAATTTTATTTTAAAGGTACAACAAGTTACAGAAAGCCTTAAAAATTTGGGCACAGGTAATGTATCTTTTATATAGTTTGTGCTAATTCCTCTTTCGCTGCTATGGACTTACTACCTTAAAACATACTATTACGTTCTTTTGTCCATAAAATAATATAGATCAAAAAATAACTAAAGAATTTAACAGTAAAAAAAAGTCTTTTAACATTTAAAATTTAATTTCTAGTGAATACCGATATTACACTACTTCTAATAATAGTATGTTGTAATTTGCTGAGTGTATTTAGGTCCCTGGTTATTGTGATAATTTTTAAATTCCAGCCAATGCTTAATTTTTAACTACTAATTAATGTGACTTAATAAAATAAAACTTATCATTTAAGAGTATGAAAAATATTTTAATTTATTCAGTTGCAAAAGATATTTCTGGAAAAAAAACTTAGCTGTAGAAATGTAAAATTAATAAATTCCAAATAACAACCAACTTGTGTCTCATAAATTTAAGGAGATGCACTAGTACCGTTAGGGCGTGGAGCAGTACGAGGGCGAAGACAGATTGATCTGGAACATTTTAGGACACCAAGACCTCAATCTTCATTAGGTGATATTGGAAAACAAGGTAAGGTTTTACTATAATTTCATTTTTTGTAATATCTTGAAAATAAATTATACATTTGTRAGAGAATCGTCAAGGATGTTAAGTTAAAACACATTTAAAATCAAAAGATGCATATTTTATTACTTAGATGTAAAGGATATAATATTACGCCAAAATGTCATTATTTCTCCACAACATTTTTGCCGCATTTTAAAACCAGGGCACTAGTATTCAAAAACATGTATCAAATTTGATTTCTTCTACCTATTTCCTGAACAAATATGTAAATACATAAAGCCCCAAGCCCTGGTTATGATTGTGTAGCCCACTCGTTTTTTCCCGCGAATAACAGTTTTTCTATATTATACATTTATAAGGCTGTGATAATACATGTGGGTGTAATTGTGGCCTTTTTTGAAATCAAAATGACGAATRTGTTTGACTAGCAACAATTTTTCACCGACTAAAAATTATTTTGACCTATCTAATACTTATTTCTAGACTTACTTCCTTTATTTATTTTTTTTATTTTGTAGGTATGTTATTTTTCCATATCAAAATTAATTTTTTTCATATTTAGTAACCATTTAAAAATAATAATGTACAAAAATATTAATATGTCATTGCATAGTAATAAATTTAAATAAAATAACGAAATGACCGAGTATTGTGCATTTGAAAAACATTTATATCTTGAAAAGTATAAGGTCAAATATTCCTTAAACAAAATCTGAGCCCTAGAATAGATTTTTATATACTTAGACCAATGATACTTATTTGYTAACTATTCATGAATTAATTCACTAGAATTACTTTAAATTTTCTTGTTGTGATATTGTAAAATAGTATAATAGATGATTGTAGTGTCTTGATTTTATTTAAATCTTATAAAGTAAAATTTAAAACAGTATTAATAGTATTTACATTGTGACTATGTTTTATGTATTTTAGGAACTTCCGGACAGCCGGTAAAATTGTTGGCAAATTATTTTCCTATTACTTCATATACAAATTGGTGTTTGTACCAATATCGGGTTGATTTCAATCCAGAAGAAGACAGAATTAGTTCTAAAAGAGGGTTATTAGCTCAGCATCGAGAACGTTTGGGAGGATACTTATTCGATGGAACAATGTTGTTCTCTGGAAGTCGATTTGATCCACCTGTAAGTTGTTGTATAAAGTCAATGACAAACCAAATATTTTTAATTAATAGGTTATTTTTTTCATGGTATTAGCTGATAAAATATCTAAAAGTATTCTGCCAAGTGTGTCTTATGACAAATTATATAAATGATTGCCACTAATTTATGTTTAAGGAATTGTTATCCCACTATCATAAATAGACTTGTAAAAGTTTAGTGTGTTTATCAAAGCATTTTAATGTTAAAAATCAATTTAAATATTTTGGCTTAGACTTTTGAACTTACATCTACACGTCGCCAGGATGATCAAATTGTAATAATTACTGTGAAATTCACAAATGTAATAGAAACCGGTGATTATGCCAACATTCAAGTTTTCAACTTACTCTTGCGTAATTGTCTTCGACATCTTAAACTAACATTGATTGGAAGAAACTTTTATGATCCAGATGCCAAAGTAAATAAGTAATTTTATAAGAATTTTATTCGTTATTTACTGACTCCTTGTAATTGCTTTTAGATTGATATGTCTCAACATAAGCTTCAGCTTTGGCCAGGTTATGAAACAACTATTGGAAGGTATGAAGATAATATTTTATTATGTGCTGAAATATCAACTAAAGTCATGCGCCAAGAGACAGTATTGGACTTTTTAAATCAGTGTGCTAATGATAGAAATCGAAATAAAGATTGGATGGTGAGTTTAATATGATTTTGTAGGATTACAATATAATTGTCTTAACAAATAATAAAATTATTGATGTTTTGAATTTTTTAGATAAACTTTAAAAGTGGTGTCGTTGGTACTACAGTTATGACAAAATACAATAATGAAACTTATAGGATTGATGACATAGATGAAAGTTCTGACCCTAATTCTGAATTTACTAAAAAAGATGGGTCTAAAATGACTTATGTACAATATTACAAAGAAGTACATTTTTATATAATTAATGTTTATTCTTTGAGACCTACATTACATATTGATTATTGTATTAGAAATGGAACATAACAATTCGTGGYGGCAGACAACCAATGTTGATTTCAAAAAATAAGAAATCTGTTAGACGATTTGGAGTTGAAGATACGTTGGTATACCTTGTTCCAGAACTTTGCATTATGACTGGGATAACTGATGCCATGAGGTACTTATATAAATTAGTATTTTGATTCTTAATATTTTAATTGATGTATATTATTATTTTGTTTAAAAATATAGAAATAATTTCACACTTATGAAAGATATGGCCATACATACTCGTGTGAATCCCAAAGAACGCATGGATAGATTAACTAATTTCGCAAATCGACTTCTTTCTACACCTGACGTAAATTGTTTTCATTATTTTATATCTATAACTATATCAATTCATATGATTAGTTTTTGTTTGAATTTTAAACTCTTTTTTTATCTTAGTCTGTTAACGAATTGAAAAGATGGAATCTGACATTAAGTAACAAGCTGGTTGAACTCACGGGTCGTACTTTACAACCAGAGCCAATCCAAAGTCGTTCTAAAGGCTATAATGGAGGCGAAGAAGCTGATTGGACAAAACATTTACGCTCTTTACCAATGTTTACTTCTGCCACTGTAAAGAATTGGACTATTCTAGCTCCTAAAGATTGTTGTAGAGAAGTAGAAGCATTTGCTCAAAATCTTGCAAAAGCAGCTCAAGGAATGACATTTTTACTACCCAAGCCTGTCATGTAATTAATTTTTTATTGCATTAATTTTTGAAATTTAATCAGTATAATTTTTAGAGTCCCCATGATTGATGGAAGATCAAATACGTTTTTGAATGATCTAGAAAAAGTAATTAATGAATCAAATCCATCATTGATTTTATGTGTAATTCCATCATCCCGTGGTGATATTTATAGTATGATTAAAAGAAAACTGTGCATTGATAGAGCTGGTAAATTTTTAATGCATATGATTTTGGTTGTATATAATTCAATGTATTATGAATATTTTCAGTACCATCACAAGTAGTACTTTTGAAAAATGTGCAAAAAAACAATTTATCTGTTTGCACGAAAATTGCTATTCAATTAAATTGTAAACTTGGAGGTGCYCCTTGGCTTGTTACTATCCCTAAAAAAGTAACTTTTATTGAATTTACAATTTTAATTTCAGTTTTAATATTTGTATTCATTAATTTTTTTAGGGGATGATGATAGTTGGTTTTGATGTGTGTCATGACAGTCAAAGAAAAAATGTATCATTTGGAGCCTTAGTATCAACTATGAACGATGCTCATACTAGTTACTTTAGTTGTGTGGAACCTCATGAAAGTGGAGAAGAGCTTTCTGTTCATTTTGCTACTGGCATAAGCAGTAAGTATCTGATTATTCTTCCAAATGTAACTATTTACCAGTTACTATCCGAACAAATACACTTAAAACTAAATAAGTTAACTACAGTCAAGTTTATATTTCACTTACGATGTAGAATTAGTGTACTACCTATCTAATTTTTAGATCTTCTTTTTAGTTGATTAAATATTTTAAATAATATTAAAATTTTGATTTGACTCTTACTACTCTTAGCTTTTGATCCTGAACTTACGACATGACCCTCAGAARTGGTATGCCCTGGGTAAATGCGTTATTTATTATTTAATTACTTTTGTACATTGAATACAATTATGCATTCTYGTTTGTGAGGTTGTGTAAGTTTCGTAGTTTTCTATGTCAGTAAAATTGTATGTAATATTTTAGGATTTAACTGCCAACCACTAAACTAAAAGAATCCATAACAGCCTATCTATTCGAAGAATTAGATATGTGTGAAATAATTATATTTATAAAGTCACTAATCGTAAAGTTTTGATTTAATTTGAGTTTATTTTTAAAATTGTATAGTTGTTTAATTTATTTGTTTTTCCTCCTGATTATAGTAGAATTGTTAAAATAATATTCAGAATTCTGTAAATGTTAAGCTATTATTACAGCGTAGGCACAAGCAAAATAGTTGTAAAAAATGTATTTTATTATTTTTTCAGAGGCATTGGCCAAGTATAGGACTAAAAATGGCGCATTACCTACTTCCATAATCGTATATAGAGATGGAGTTGGAGAAGGCCAAATATCTCATGTCCATAAGACAGAAGTTAGACTTTTGCAGGTAGGTTGTTAAAATTTTTTTAAACTGTATATATAGTTGATAAACTTTTATTTTTTTTTGTAGACTGCTTGTGAACAATTTTATGGTGCAAGTTCTGTCCCATTAGCATTCGTTATAGTCACGAAACGAATAAGTGCACGATTTTTTGCTCCTAGTAATAGAGGCCCTGAAAATCCAAGACCTGGTACAATTATTGATAGTGTTGTTACAGACCCAACTAAGTATGTTATACGTAAATTATTTAATCCAAATATGTACATTTTATTGAAATGGGTTTAAAATAACTTAATTTAATTGTAACATTGGTGTATTATAGTTATTGTTTTTATACTGTTTTTGTTCACTTACAGTTCGGCACTACTGTGTAGCAGTAGTAGAAAAACAACCAAAAAATAAAAATAAAAGTTTAATGCTCAAATATTTTGTATTGCAGGTACGATTTCTTTTTGGTGTCACAACATGTAAGACAGGGAACAGTAACTCCTACACATTACCAAGTGATTGAAGATACATTGAGACTTCCTCCTGACATAATGCAAAGACTTACATTCAAGTTGACTCATATGTACTACAATTGGTCGGTTAGTTCACCTTTTTATGATCTACTATTCTTATAGCATATACCCATAAATGTTGTTTAAATTATTCTTAGGGTACGGTTCGGGTTCCTGCCCCATGTCAGTTGGCTCATAAGTTGGCATTTCTCACTGGACAGAGTCTCAGACGTTC